ATTTTAAAATAAATAACATAAAAATATTAATTCAATTTTAATAATTTTATTGTTTTCGTACGTGTTAATATCTATTTTTAGGTACGCCACTGTGCTCTGGCTAATCGTGTTTTCGTGGCGTTTTTTATAAGTGATCCCGAAGGAGTGAGAAGTGTTTTCATAAGTATTTAGCTAAAAAGAGATGTCACACGTTAACAGATCCATGAAACGTAGTGAAACAAACATAAAATCACTTAAATCAGCCAAGCCCGTAGCCAGAAAATAATTTCGAGGGTGGTTTGATTTGGTGGAACAATAGAAAATATAAAATCGTTTTAATAAAAGAAATAAAATGGTGTTACTTATCATATATATTTATTAGAAAACCATTACAGAAATATTAACACCTTATTACAAAATTAAATTTAGTCTTATAGCTTTCTTTGCAGCGAACAAATCAATTACCTCCTCGGTGTCGATGTCAATTCGCGGTGGTCTTTCCTAGCCTGTGGAGTTTCTCAAATACGTTTTGAGGCGTTTCATAGAAGAGTAAGTCCTCTCAGGAGTACATGTAGAAACAGGCAGTGTCACCAAGATCTTTAAAAGTTTGTGAATATTTGGTTGCATTCTACGAGAGCTTCAATAGCACATGTTGGTCGATCTAGTTCAGATTCTTCCACCCATTTTATCCGTCACATGTCTAATTCCAAATATTTTTTATAGAGCTCAAAGTAGTTTTCTTGATAATTTTGATTAATTTGTTCTTTGCAACACACAGACGGAATTAAAATGTTGAGAGATGATAATGTGACTTTATGATTTTGGAATCTCGATCGAAGCTGTGTAACGGTCCGTTTTCGTTATTTGGCCCAGACCCGTTCTCGTTATTTAGAAACCAACATCTCTACACAAACGTCATTTGTCGTTTATGTCTTGTGTCAAAACTTGGATTGTCATTTTCATTTTATCTGTCGACACTAGTTGATGATTGAAAATTAATTATCTATTATCTGGGACATCCGATTTACTAGTTACCTTAAATTATTTTAATGGCCATCTGATTTAAATAAGGTAAGTTTCCTACCGATATTTTGTTGAAAATATATATTTAGTACAAGAATTTCTTTATTAAAATGTCAAATTTGAAACATAACCTCAACATGAAAAACACAAGAAATCACATGTTTTATACAATTTCATCTATTATTTTGTTTAAAATAGATAATATGCTTTACTATATTTATATATGTTAAATAATACTTTTTCTTTACCTATTGAATTTGGTCTCTGTGGAGCTTTTCATTTAATAATTTAAATTATGCATTTGATAGTAAAAAGCATCTTATCTCTTCTCCCTAATTCCTTTATTTATATTTTTACCAATTTCTTTGTAGCCTTGCTGTATATAGATGGTCTGAAAATCTTAAAGATGTCTTATGTCTTAAAGAAATCTTGAAGAATTGATTTAGATGGTTCGATAGAAACTATATCGAGGATTCAATAGTAGCTGTCTCTACCTGAATTTTAGAAGAACTTACAAGCTGCTTGTTGGGAAATTCAATTCGGAAGAATGTAGAATACATCAAGAAGTTTGCAACAAGATTTAACACTATCTGGTAAAGAAGACCTCTACAGTTACCTGTTTCCTGTATACCTCAGATAAGTCTCAATAAATCATTTAAATTTGAATAATTAAGTCTCTGTAAATTAGAATTTGTCGCTACCTTATTTAATTATAATATCATAAAGATCAGTGTTTTTTATATTTTCATCGCTGATCGATTGTCAAGTTTAGAAAGTTTTAAATATAGTGGCGTCCAATATTCTCTTTCAAAGTCATATGAGTTGTTTAATAACCTGACCCACTTCCCAAATCGTAGAGCTTAAAACACTATAAACATTTATAAAATAATCACATTACAGCTGATCAATGAAATCATTCAAAAGTAGAATCATTATAGTAATTCTAAAATAAGCTTCAGGATCATTTGTGTTGTAGTTTGCCCTATGCTCTTGGCGTGATGTTATTCGCGTAATTTTCATTTCCTCGTTTACAGTACTGAGCAAATTCTGTGCATTCTTCAAAAGTTCGGCAAATTTTGAATCAATATTTTGGCGAACATCTTCAATAGTCTTTATAATTAAATCGACATGTTGTAAAGCTGCTGCCAAATCGCATAGGGGCGATTCAAGTATTTTGCATAGTGTCAGTGTGTAAGGGAACAACACTCCTAAGCAACATAAGGTTATAACAAAATCACTTGAAATTACTGATCTCAGAAAATAATTAGTCTTTGACGATGTTTCAGAATCCATGTCAGTGCTTAAGTCGTCTAGTGTATCAACAATAGCTTTATAAATTTCTTTAAATCCTAACAACCCATCATGATTTTCTACCCAGCGTGTCTCGCACATTGTCGTAATGTTTTTCCATTGTGTTTCAGGGAAGTTTTTTCGATATTATCTTTTAAATACTTGGTTCGTTTTGCCGAGGACTTGATAAAATTTTTAACCAATTTTATAATTCCAATAGTATTTCAAATAGGCTGAAACTGGCAAGAATGACCCAGAGCTAAATTCAATAAATGTGAGCTGCAATGAACGTATAAGGCTTCTGGATGTGACTCACGAATTACTGCCTGCACACCTTTAAAACTTCCTTTCATCGAAGAAGCTCTATCATATCCTTGTCCGACTAAACATTCGCAATCTATTCCCAAAGATTTTAATTTAGATAAAATTACATTAGCTAAATATCTTCCTTTTGTATTCTCAATTGTTACAAAAGTTAAAAAATCTTCGCGCAAGAAAAATCCATTATCTTTTAGCTCGGCATATCTTAGACAAATGGACATCTGTTCTTGTCGTGAAACATCAGTATTTTCGTTAACAAGGACTGAAAAAAAAATCACAGAATTTAATCCTTGCACAATTTTTTTTTTATTATTTCACCAAAAATTGCAATAAGTTTATTTTGTATGGTCGGGCTTAGGTAGGTAGCGTTCAACGTCATATTTTCTGTGTGCTTTATTAGATTTGAGTCTCCACATCTGATTCTCATCCGTAAGATAGCACGAAAGTTTCCATCATTTGTTTCTAGCTCAGCATCATTAATTTTTATTGGACCTGAGTCGCATGTACTTTTCAGTGCCAATTCTTGACGTCCACATAATTTAATTGTTTCAATAATCGGAATAAGCCTTTTCCGATTTTCAGCTAATTGCTCTAGGTATCCGTTATCAATCTGACTTATTATATTTGGCTGAGATTTATTATACACCTTCATAAAATTATTAGACAATAATACAGAAGATTTGTGGTACTGGCTTTCACTGTGATGTTTAAAATCATGTACAGCTTCTTTCCATTTAGTAAGCGGCTGAGTAACTAAGGATTTTAACTGCTGATGAGAGCCTTTAGCTGCGCAATCTCTGGCAAATAATACACCATATTTGCATAAAACACCTTGTTGCCCTGTACTCGTGTAAACTAATCACGAGAACCGTTCAAACCATTGCATTTGAAATTTTAGCTTTCTTTTATCGTCACTTAGGTACTGTAAACTTGGAAATGTCTTTTCTGGCATCCAAGGAGATTTCAACAATCTGTACTTTAAATCATCATCAATTTTAGTGACTAAGATAATAGCTCTCATCTAAAACATGCTGAGAAACATTATCCACAGTCCCAGGAACGGCAGCAGAAGTACCATAACTACTTGTAGCAGTATCACTGTCGAAAACACTTGAACACTGATTATCAGTAGAACCTTCACTACCCGTACCAGGTTTAGATTTTTTAAATAAATATTTGAATAATGTCCTTTTTGCCATTTCAAATATTAAACCGACCTGTAACAATTAAAAAAACAGCCAAGTATTACACAAATATTTACTTCGATAAAGATTCAAAAGAAAAAGAATACGAGTAGGTAGTCTACTCTTAGACATCAAATCATTTTAATTTAAATTACAAAAATTATAACACCACTTACTTCAATACTAATTTACAGCACTATTATTTCACACACTGTACTATTACTTCGCTTATATCGCCTTAGTCGCATTGCATTGGATCACTTTCCTAGGCAGAACTGCCTCTCCGTGCTCGACGGCTCGCTTATATATTCCGTAGATGCGGCGCAACCAAACATCGAGATTAACCTGTCTCATTCTATGCTTATTGAATATTCCCGAAATGCAGTTCGAGCACGTCTCCGAAATTGTGTTGCTTGTGTAGTTGGCGTAGCACGTAGTTTCGCCGCTCCCTAATAGATGTCGCTGCGCCGCTATTTAACTATCGTCGTGCGAATACCAAGCGAGCATAAAGTCATACATAATAAAAATAACAGTAGGTAGAGAATTTTGTTTGTAGTAATTAACTATTATGTTGTGTATAACAACAACGTGAGACGGGCGCACTGTATATAACTGCAGTCTCATTAATACTTATTAAAAGTCTAAAATAAATATCTTTTTTTATTTTGGGGGGGGGGGGCAATCCCCCTTGATTCCCCCTGGCTACGGCCTTGAAATCAGCTTAATTTGCGTAACGCACACAGTGTCGTCACAAAGTAGGGCGGGGTATACGAACTTTCCAATCATTTATATAAAATAAAGAGGAGATGCTTTGACGATACTAAAAGTGCAATAATTCTTAACAAATTTTTATTGCACTTTATTTTCGTTCACTACAAAGTCAGCCGGAAAACAAAAAAAAAATCATATATTTTTCCGACCGAAACAGCTAACTGACTTAGTGGAAATTATTTACATGCAAACCTTATGGCTTTGGTTTTTCACTATTAGATTGTCATATTATTATATGTTAATGTGTTAAAATGCCATAAACGAGAGATTAAAAAAAAATATTTTTCTGCCAAAGGAAAATCAATTTTCCATTTGCCTAGCATACGTCGGTCGCATAAATAATTTTTAGTGTTTAAAATCCCACAAAAGAGAAATGCAATCAGCAAAATATGTCATTATAAGACGGTCTATTATGCAATGCTTTATACCTACTCTGTATACTCGATTTTTTCTTTAGTTTACTAGCTCCTTTTCCCATCTCTTAACATCCCTATATTGGCCATCACTGTCTCCTCAAAATTAAAAATTATTATGTAGCTAGATGTTAATACAGGTTCCTGAAAAATAAAAAAATGCAATGTAGTACCTTAAGACAAAATAAAAGAAAAGAATAATAATGATAAAATATGTTTTGCGAAAAGTCTGAATTTCATTAATTGATCATTAATAGAATGATGAATTGTTTATTAGCTTATGACTACAATGTTCTTACTAGAGCATATCAATATTATACTGATGCAGAATTAGGTTTAGCATTCTTGATCTAAATATTCCAGCATTTAACAATGTATCTATTATTTTGACCTAAAAACATGCCTAATCAGTAGTTTGTAGTAATCTTTGCATTAACAATAAGGATAATTTATCAAACCAAGAATGGCCACCCACAATATCTCGATATCTCGAAGCACGCCAGACGTTTTGTTACTATAAACAAAGTAGTGCCGCCATTTTAATACTGCTAAATGTATGCAACGCTTGCACAAAACTAAGAGCAGGTTGTTTTGTTTAATACGTGATATGTGTACTTTAATCACTTATATGAGCAGGGAAGAAATATGAGAATATCACTAGAAATAGTATTTTTTTGGGACAAATTAAATTCAAAGCTTTTATTATGCAATTGTGCTTAAAATTGATGATAGAACAGTGGCGCATTCAGAGTTTAAGTCTGGGGTGGTAGTGGTAATCAGGGCCACCGAGAGTCATGGAGCCGGGACATTTTTATAAAATTAGGTCCTTTCTTTAAGCTTGTATTTTTCGTCCTCTTTTTTTATGACGAGCTTCTAAAAAACAGGTAAAAAGATGTCTTTTCAAAACATCCTACAGCTGCCCCCCTGCTCCCTCTCATCGGACCTATATAATTACAATTAGTTACCAGCCATTATTTAATTCTACTTTGTAAGCGAGTTTATTTGTTAAATATCAAGAGGAACTTCATTGAATAATCTGGGAGCAAGAAAAATATGACTTCTTAAAGTTAGTGTCAGAGATATTTGCGGAACAAAAGAAGTAAGATGTTGATTTCGAGTAGTATAACTATTAAGGGGGATCTTTTTATTTTTATTATTTTCTTCTTTGATTAGTAAGCTTTGCCAGTACAATTGTCTAATATCGAGCATTTGTGAAATAACAAAAAGTTCTTTTGTAGGAAACATTGATTAGGATTATTATATATTTTATTATTTAAGCGTATTTCTTTTATCTATTGTTTTTTGGTCACTTGTTGCTTTTTTAAAGTTTTCCAAAGTATTTTTGAATTATGTTTATTTTTTATTATTTAGTCTTGAAAATATTGCGCTTTTGTATGATTGTATTTAAATTATTTCTATAAATTTTTTAGTCTTTGTTTATTTAGTCTGTTTCTTCTTTTTATGGATGTTAAAATACCGATAGTAACCCACTCTTTCTTTTTGCTTGAACAGTAGAATTTTGAATAAAATTTTTGATTTTTTAGACCAAGATATCTGCAGTTTTCTCAACATCATCACACATATAAAAATCCTGCCAAGTTTCTAGACCAGCTAGTTTTTTAAGCTTGTTATTGTTTAAAATTAGAGACATCACACATAAAATTATAAAAAAATGTACACGATAATTTGCCATTTTTTGCCGACCTGCAAATTTAAATATTTTTCTTTAAACAGATCATAAATATTGAAATAAAAATAATATTAAATTTGTAGCTGTGTTACATTTTTGATCATTTAGCAATGCATTAATTTAGTTTTTTGCCATTTTAACAATGTTGCCGACGCCAACCCTGTATTGAGTTGCAAAATTGGCTAGTTTTAAAAATGTTAGAATTAATGTTAAATTTTTCGGTTTACACTTCTATACTTACTAGCCTATACTGTCTTCTCGGTAAAATAGTTCGCCCTACCTTAAAGATGGGTAAAAGGTCACATCTATGAACGTAAAACATAATAAACGTATCTAAAATTCAATCTTCTTGAATAACTGGGACGATAATTTTTAATTATTTAACATCGCTGAAGTCACGCCGTACTTGATTTGTATGTGAAAAGAGAAAATTTTTATGGGTGCTAAACTCATGGATTGGGTTTGTACTTAATAAAATTTGATTAAGGTGATTACAGCACCCCTTATAATTTTCGGACAAGCATATCTCAAAAAGTATTTTTTTTTAATTAAAATTTTGGGAAAATAAATTAGGCAACAATATCTAGAATAAGGCATATATTTTAAAGTTTAAACCCCCACCCTGAATTTTTTCAGAATGAGTAGGCTTCATCTCCTTTTAGAACTTAATTTTTACTAAAAATTTCAAAAGTTGATATTGCGTTCCGTTTTTGATTTATGATTTATTTTTTAATGTAAACCACCTTTAAACCCCCATTTTAATGCATAGGCTTCTTCCCCATATAGAGCTTGATTTTCTTGAAAATATCAAGTTGGTATGGTTTTTAGTTTTTGATTTATAATTTTTTTAAATTTCAACCGACCTTGACCCCCATTTTTATTCAGATTTTTTTAAAATCAATAGGCTTTGTCTCCTTATTAGAACTTGATTTTTGCTAAAAATTTATCTAATTTATATTGACAATATTTACCTCATAAATACGATCTCTTAACTAAAACACTGAACTGTTACAGCGAACTTGGGTTAGTAGTCACTATAAGCCAAATTATTTTGAAACATTGTTCTCGAATCTATAACTTCGATAATTTTGAAAAATTTCCTAGAAACAGTCCTGGACAAATAATATGCATTTAAGCACTTATGGGCATTACATTGAAAGAAGAGAAATAATGAGAATTGGTATTTTCTCCATGTGCAGGAATGCAAAGATTAGCGATTAGATACCGCACATTGTGTAAGGAATCAAGAAACAAGGGATTACTACTTAAAAGAATACACGTATCGTTTAACACAAACACAACTTGAATAAACAGAAATTAATTAACAATTTTATCATTTGTAGATAGTAATTTTCGCATTCCTATTATTATATTTAACATTACTTTTATAGAAGCACTCTCTGCCTGTCTATAAGTACATTTTTCAAAATAAAAACGAACTAAGACACAGAAAGTACCCACACATTAATTGGACCAAAATAGGTATGAGGATTGATATTACTTTAGACAAGGAATATGATTCTAAGTTTTGAATATAGGGGGCGCTACCTATGAGCAAAACTGGATGATGAAATTACATAATATTATGATTTATGAACGAAACTTTTCGATGTTTACTAGAATATACAGTGCGTGTCAAAAGTAGGGAATACATTCGATATTGATTTTTGTACAAATTTCGAAAACAAGTCAATTTTGTTTAACATATTGGTACAAAATTTAAAAGAAACGAACTTTTAAAAGATAATAAATCATTGTGAATTTAAGCTGATGGAGTCTCAAGAAAATCGGAATTTTTAAAAAATATTATTTGGTCAGAAGAAAGTAAGTTTTTGAAAAGAGGTTTATATAATAAGTACGCTTAATTCACATTATTGGACCCGTAGGAAAGTGGGTTTGTTTCAAGTAGTATTAACTTTAACTTAAAACTTAAATTATACAACGTGACAATGTTAGTATATTTATTTAACTGATTAATGATACAACCTTGATTATTTTACATAAACAATAAAAGACAGTAGAAATACCAGCTAGTGGATTAGGTGATTCGATAACTTCCAACACTCAAGGATTATTATCTATCCAATTATGTCGGTTGTGAGACAGGTTATCAATCTTATTGGCCGTTTAACGAATTTTGTGCTATTATGTAGTAATGCTTAGATTTAATGATGGAATTTTAACAGATTAATTTTTAAATCGGCTTTATTAATTAATTTATAGATTTATGCGTTATATAGGTGAATTTCGGAATCAATATTTAAATAATTTACACCTCACGGACAATTTTTAATCAATAATGTTTTATATGATAATTTTTTGGATCAATAGTGGGTCAATACAGTCCCTTTTTTGGCCACCAAGATCTCCTGACCTCACACTTGTCAATTTTTTCATGTGGGGCTATATTAAAGGAAAGGCCTTTAACCACTAAAGAAGATTGCTAAGCATTCCATTCGATACCGCCCAATCAATTGTTAGAGCCTGTACAAATACCATCGTCTGAAGATGTGAGAAATGTTTAGAATAGAAAAGCAATTTGGACAATTTTTATACTTTTTGTTTTTACGATTGTAATTTTTAAGACGCCTACTTGATAGACAATATTACATTTATCACAAATGTTATTTCAATATGTTTTTTTTTTTAATAAAGATAAGCATAGAGAAATAAATAATAACTTCGTTTATGATTGGCCGTAAAATATGATGAATTAACCCTTTCGACCCCCTTGGACTATATATGTCCCAACGAGAATTTAAAATTTCTATTTGATATAAATATGACCCCATTTTAATGTGTTATTTGATTAATGGTATTCTTCAAGCATAATCTTGAAAACAGAGAAGTTCTGGCAACGTGGCTTGTTTACTGGTCATTTATTCACTTGTTTACAAGCGTGCTAGATGCGTTTGAAGCTTTTTTGCGTTGTTTGTGTTATTTCCAGTTCTTTCATAAAAATTTTAACAGGTAATTTAATTTAAACATAAATTTATTATAAGCATAATATCTATTCGTAAAATTTATTTCAAAAGTCAAGTAAAAAACATGCCATTTTCTACTGGGACAAAAATATCCCAGTGGTACTTACAAGTGGGACGTATAAAATCCAGTGGTTTTTTGTTACAGTATGTTGAAGAGAGCATTATCAGAAAAATAATTAAATTATTGAGCAAATGTTTCTGGAGATGAAGATATAGATGATGATAGAGATAAAGATTATGAAACCGAAACAGAATCTTCAAAATCAGGTGAGGATGGGGAAATAAGTGAAGATGACAGAGAATCTTTAGATAGTAAAAAAGAAACTTCAGATAGTGAAAGAGAATGTAGAAACGATGATCGCACAGAAAATGACGACCAAAATCAAGAAATACAAGAAAACAATAAAATCAAGATGAAGCCATTGTGTGGTCGAGCCTCTCTGATGACTTCAGGTTCAGCATTCCTGCAA